ATGCAGGTGGGAAGGAGCGAGCTGCCTCTGGGGGTGGGGGGCGGTGAGGGGGTGGAGGACAGAGAAGACTCAGGATTTCTAACTGCTGGGGGAGGGGAGGAGGGCTCTGTCTCCCCAAGGAAGGAAAAGGCTAAGAAGGAGGGTCCCCATGGATTGTGGCTTCCTCCCTTTGGCTTCTAGGGACCAGTAGGGTCCCCAACGCCTTCTCTGTTCTCTGGGGACTTGAAATGGGCTCCAGGTAGTCTGGCATCCCATGGCCATATGCCCGCCACCTTCCTGGGAGTTGTGAGGGCCCTTTTTGAAAATCATCTTAGTGCATGGGCTGCAGACAACCAGAGCAAATACAGCACACCCCTCTGCCCCCCAGCATTCCGGACTTCTGGGCAATCAATTGCTGTCAAAGGCCTTAGAAACTGGAAATGGTTGAACATCAGCCTGTGTTTGGGCTGTAGGCACTCAGGCAGCATGTGACACGGAGGTGGGGGGATGTGGTCAGAATGTCCTTGTTTGTGGGGGGGGGGCAGAGCCAGGAAGGTCTGAGTCTGGCCATAGGGTGGTCATCGTGCCGAAGGTCACAGGCAATGTTGATCTGCCCCTGTCCTCGGAAGGCTTCATTCTCTTATCCAGCTCCATGGCCCTTTTCCCTTTTCCTACTTCAAGGTAAGGGGAAGGGCAAAGCATTGAGGCGTGGCCGTGGATGTATGTGCTGGAGGCCTGGGATCAGCTGTTGGTCCAGCATAGCCACGTAGCTGTGATTCTGGAGTCCAAGCTGCTCTGAACCTCAAAGCCTCAGCCCAAGTTTGACACCAAAACTCATTTGGTGGCCAAGCCTGTTCTGCTCTGACGTGAAGCTCACTCACCCTACTTTTGGGACCTGTTTGTACTTTCCTGCTGGGAAATTCTCCAGACCACCCCCGCCCCCATCCCAAGTCCATATGTACATTATATCGCCTTTCTAAAAACTGAAACATCCTGGTCTCTGTCCCACATCTGGCTTGGAAGTGGGGGTAACGGCTGTGCCCGTCTGCCCGTGCAGGAAGGCTGGAAGGCTGTGGCCCCGGCTGGAAGGAGAGCCTCTGGGCTTTTTGGGCCTTGGCGGGCGACCTTCAGACAGTGCAGTGCTGTCAATCTGGTGCCTCCTCCCCTGCCAGCTTCCTGTCCCTTCACCCTCCACTCCAGAAGCAGGTCAGCACCCTCCTTTCCCTCGGTCTCCAGGTCCTCACATCCGGAGTGGTAGGGGGACAGGAGATGCCTGTCCTGGCTGCCGCTGCTCAGGTCACATCCTGGGCTTCCCAGCAGGAAAGTCTCGGTGGGTTAGAATAAATGTGCTGTGCAGCGTTTGTGGGTTGGGTCAAAACTGTGCCTTCCCTGAGTCTGAAGACCCACTCATGTGGCAGGGGCCCGAGCTTGCCGGCTGCACACCCTCGTGGGTGGCCCTCTGGATTGCTGGCACCTCCACCTCCCTGGAGAAGCTGTGTGTGTGGCTCCTGCTTTGCTAGCTCACCGTGCGACTGTCGTGCTGTTCCTCTTATCCTTGGTAACTGAAGGGCCAGCGCAGCTAGTGCTGCTCCAAGAGTAGAGTTGCCAGGGACTGTGGGCTTGTGTGTGCATGCTGGAAGGGTCCTTGCAGGGAGGAGGGCCCCACCGCCTTGCTCAGCTGCACCCACCTTTCCTCTCTGGCCCCAGGGGCACGGACAAGTGACAAGGGTGGGCTTGTTTACTCAAGGGGCCAGTCGAGGGAGGGAGACCTGATGGCGCCCGAGCAGCCGCCGCCAGTGTTTCATGGTGCCCACTTCACCCCAGGAGTTTGAGCATGTGTCTCTGAGTTTCTCTGTCTGCACAACGGGAGCCCCCACCCTAGGCCATCTTGGGTTTCAAGGCGACCAGATGAGGCAGAACCTCTCCCCCAAGGTGCTGATCAGAGGCACCACGACCTCCCCCCACATAGAGTGTGTGCCCCGTCCACTCCTTTACCTGCTCACCTAAACCGTGCGAGGAAAGCAGGGCTCTCCAGCACCCGGGCTAGCATTAGTACATCCTCCTTGGATGGCCCTCGGCATCTCTTCACAGCTGGAAAAATGAACAGCCCCTGTGCTAGGTGAGAAGTGACACGGGGCAGGGAGTCCGTTCCCTTCACACCTCCTGGGGGTGGCGAAGTCTAGGAAGTCCACTGGCATCCTGCCACGTCAAGGTGAGCTTTGTGGCCGGGGGCTTACCTGTGGCCTTGCCTTGTGCCTGGGAGTGGGCATGGGACCCAGCTGAGGGAAGGGGCGCCTGCCTGTGCCACCACCCTGAGGCTGGGGAAGGATGGTATGTCTCCCGACAGCTCTGTTCCCGGCAGGCGAGCCGCTGCAGCAAGATGGCAGCTGGGCCAGTCCAAAAATAAAACCTAATTCGAGTCCCTTTACGTCTGATCGTCAGGGTGACCTCCATGTGCACTTTTCATTGTGCTTTACTTGGGTCCAGGACTTCATTCAGTTCCTCCTTATACTTTGTTAGCAAATCACCGGCCCTACCCTCACCCTGGACCAGACCGGGACGTTGCCTAGAGGCCCTAAGGTGGTCCTACGGGATAGGTCAGGGGTTTGTGAGTGTCCTTAGCTAGGGAGCTCCTGGTTCAAGTTTGGCCTTCTTCCAAGGACCAGCGTGTGGGACAGAGGAGGGGCTGGGTGCCCAGCTGCTGGTGCTTCCCTAACCCAGGCAGCCTTCCAGGTGTTTGAGAACCCACCTGTGAGTTCAGCGTCATTACAGATAACACAAGAGAGTCATTCTTGAATGCCCCCCTCACTTTCTGCCTGACTGTGGATGGGCCTTGCCCTGTGGGCGGGAGGGGGTGGCTGTGTGGCTTCCTGGGGCCTGCAGTAACAAGTGACCACAGGCTAGGGGGCTTAATAGACATTTATTCCTTCCCAGCTCTGGAGGCCAGAAGCCCAAGATCAAGTCCGAGGGCAGGGTTGGTTCCTTCCGGAGGGTTCTGGGGGAGGATCCATTCCATGCTTCTCTCCAGCCCTTGGTGTCCCCTGGCTTGTGGCTGCATGTCTCTGGTCGCTGCCTCTGTTGTCACATGTCCTTCTCCCTGTGCGTCTGCTTTCTCTTCTTACAAGGACACCACTCATTGGATTGAGGGCCACCCCAATCAAGCGTGGTATCATCTTAACTAATTATAGCCCAATTTCCAAATAAGGTCCCATTCTGAGGTTCTGGGTGGACGTGAGTTTTGGGTGACCCGGTTCACCCCAGGACAGGTAAGCGCAAGGAGGGGTGGGTGGGTGGACTGGGGGGGGGGGGCTTTGGGCAGTCTGGTGTGTACAGGCCACAAGATGCCACGTGTGGAACGCCGCTGCAGCCCTGCCAGAGACGACCAGCACAGGCTGTCATTTGGACTAGTCTGTGACCCACTCTGGGGTCAGGCTAAGCCTCAGGAGCACATGACAACTGGGGATCACTGCCGCCAGGGCTGGGCCTGCCTGGAAAGGCACAGAGAGCAGGAGGTCGGCTCCAGCGTCCCCATGGGCCCTCAGCCTTGGCCTGGGTCAGGTGTGGGACCTCACCCATCCCCTCCTTCTCTCTGTTCTCACCTTCCTGGTCACGCAGCTCTTCTCCCAGGTCACCTCCTGCAGGACACTTTGCCATCAGAGGCTGAAAGGGGGGCCATGTGCCTTGTCAGGGTCCTCCAAGGCTCTTCATCCAGAGTCCCCAGGGGCGGGGGCTCTGGGCTGGCCACCCTCCTCGAACCCGTTGTGGAGGGAGGCTGGGGACTCTGTGTGACCTGGAAGGCTCACTCAAGGCTAGGTGGGCCGGCGGAAGCTGAGCAGAGGCTGGTGGGTGAGGTGGAAGAGTCCTGGGGCTCCTCGTTTCTGGCAGGATTCACTGGGACTGGCCAGGTCCAGCCTGGAGGGGCTCTCGCCGTGGTCTCCCCCGCCCACCCCTGGCTTAGGTGCCGAGGAAGGGAGCTGGGCTCCGTCCCTGGCACCCTGCCTGTGACCAGTGGGCCTTGCGTTTCCAGAGCAATGAATGATATTGGGGACTATGTTGGTTCCAATCTGGAGATATCCTGGCTTCCCAACCTGGATGGCTTGATAGAGGGCTATGCTCGCAACTTCCGGCCTGGCATTGGAGGTGAGGGCGGCCAGTGGGGGCACGGGGGAGTCTCCTGCGTCCGGCTGTGGGGGTGAGCCCTGCCGGCCCTGGGCTGGCTCCCTCAAGGGGTGCGTCTGTGGTCCCCAGGGCATGTGTCACACCTCGACGGTAGCCCCCCGCCCCCAGGAGACAGCTGGGAAGGTGGGTCTTCTCAGAAGGGTCTTGTGGCAGACTCTCTCCAACATGGTCTTCCCTGCAAAACCCTGGCTGACCCCTGTCCTGCCTGCCTGGGCTTGCACTGGGTGGGGAGCCTGGCTTCAGCCTCTTCCCTGCAGGGCCTCCTGTGAACGTGGCCCTCGCCATCGAGGTGGCCAGCATCGACCACATCTCAGAGGTGAACATGGTAGGTGCTGGTCAGCCTCCACCCACCCCTGGCTGTGGGCCCCCACGAGAGGAGCGGGGCTGACGGCCAGTGTCCCTTCCCGCCTCCCACTGCAGGAATACACCATGACCGTGTTCCTGCACCAGAGCTGGCGGGACAGCAGGCTGGCCTACAACCACACCAACGAGACCCTGGGCCTGGACAGCCGCTTCGTGGACAAGCTGTGGCTCCCGGACACCTTCATTGTGAATGCCAAGTCCGCCTGGTTCCACGACGTGACCGTGGAGAACAAGCTTATCCGGCTGCAGCCTGACGGGGTGATCCTGTACAGCATCCGGTGAGCCCTGGACCGGCCCCCCCAAGATGCTCAGACGGGAGCCCGGATGGGTCGTCCGTCCTCTGGCGGCGCCCCATACCGCCTGGTAATGGCAGCTGCAGAGGCGGCCGCGGGAAGAAGCCCACGGATGCAGCTCTGTGGCCAACACGGTGGCTTTTGGTTTTTCACTTGGGGGTGAAATTCACATAACATACAATTCACCATTTGAACGTGAAGGATCCAGTGGCATTTAGCACGTTCTCAGTGTTGTGCAAACATCCCGTCTGGCTCCAGAAGGTCTCATTCCCCAGGAAGGAGACCCCACGCCCATTAGTGCTCGCTCTCCATCCGTCCGCCCGCCCCACCGACCTCACCTTCCGGATAAAGTGAATCATACAGCGCGTGACCTTCTGTGTCTGCCTTCTGTCCTTTACCCAGCACAGTGTTTTTGAGGGTCATGGTGTTTACCGGGATGTCATTTCTGTTTACGGCCGAGTAACCTTCCACCACATGGTATCCACTCATCCGTCCGTGGACACCGGACCGTTTCCACTTTTTTGGCTATTGTGTGTTGAGCTGTCCCGAACATACATGTGCATGTATGAATATGTGTTTTCTGACCTGTGCCTTTTAAAAACAGAGTTAGCGGCCAACATTTTAAAAACCAGGAGATTAAAAAAATCTGGGGGGTGGGGCAGGAGGACCTCAGGATTTCGGGAGCTGGCCTCGCTCCTGGAGGCCTCACCAGCATGTTGTCTGGGCAGAATCACCTCCACGGTGGCCTGCGACATGGACCTGGCCAAATACCCCATGGACGAGCAAGAGTGCATGCTGCATCTGGAGAGCTGTGAGTGCCCCTCCGGGGCCGGGCAGGGGGCTCTGCTCGGCAACTGTGCTGCGGGGGGAGAGGGGACTCGGGCCGCCAGGGACCTTTGCAGCCGGCCTGGCTCGGGGACAGGGAAGCATCTGGGATAGGACTTGTGGAGCGAGGAGCCTGGGCTGAAGAGAAGGCAGAGAGGGAGCTGGAAGGCCTGGGCGGCCCGACCCTCTTCCCACGGGTCACAGACGGGTGTGCAGCCCAGACAAGGCATGTATTTGTGTCATCGAGCCAGCGTAACAGCCCCTGCGAGTCGCCTAGAGATGGCGGCCTGCCCTTTCTCCAGCTCTCCTGGTCCTGTCTGCCTGCCGGAGGTTGGGCATGGCCACAGCCCTTCTCGACCCTGGCTGGGTGTCCTGTGCTGTCCCCTGCCCCCTGTGCCGGGGGACACCACCTGGGGCTCTCCTGCAGATGGCTACTCATCCGAGGACATCGTGTACTACTGGTCTGAGAACCAGGAGCAGATCCACGGGCTGAACAAGCTGCAGCTGGCCCAGTTCACCATCACCAGCTACCACTTTGCCACGGAGCTCATGAACTTCAAATCGGGTAACGCGGCTTCTCGCGGCCTCTTCTTGGGAGCCTGGCTCGCGGTCTTCTAGCACTTTTAACCAAGCCGTTAGTTGGCTCTGAGGACCCCCTGAGGATGCCCCTGGAAAAGCACTGATGGGCACAGGCTGCACCCGACCGAGGGACTCAGGGCGCCACAGTGCAGATATGGGTCAGGCTCTCTCTGCCTTTTTCCTCGGTCCTTGGTTGCTTCCTGCAGGCTCTCAGTGCTTGCGGTTTGGGGGGGACACGAAGGGTGTGGGGCTCACCTGGGGCTGCCTTTGTCCTGACCCCTCCTGCCCCTTCCCAGCTCCTACTGCCTGCTCATTGGTGCCAGCCAGCCCAGCTGGCTCTTTCCTTTCGCTTGGCTGGGCTCCAGGGAGGGCTGGAAGAGCTGGCCACACTCCGGGAGAGTGCCCTGGGCCAGTGCAGCACTGGGATCTTTCTCCTCTCCTGCCTCCGGGTGGCCCTGCCTCTCTCCCAGGACAAGGCCCAGGGCACGGGAGACTCCTGATCCATCAGGCTGTGTGGGGAAAGTGGGGAAGGCAGGGGTGTGAGGCTTGAAGTGGTGCCCCCCTCTGTGCCTGCCAAGCCCTCCTCTCCACCCGCACCCCCTGCCCCCCGGTGCCACAGTGTGTGGTGGGTCAGGTCCCAGCAGGGAGTGTTTCTCCCGCAGCTGGTCAGTTCCCTCGGCTCAGCCTGCATTTCCATCTCCGGAGGAATCGGGGCGTCTACATCATCCAGTCCTACATGCCCTCCATCCTCCTAGTTGCCATGTCCTGGGTCTCCTTCTGGATCAGCCAGGCAGCGGTGCCCGCCAGGGTGTCTCTAGGTACGGGGCCCTGACCTTTCCTCCGAGGGAGCTGGTGAAAGGGCGGGAGCCCAGAAGCAGGACGCCAACCCTGCTCCCCATGAGCCCATGTTTTGCTTTCCAGCCCCTTGTTCCAAGCCAGTGGCCAGCCAGGCCTGGTCACAAGAGTCTGAATTTCACTTGGGCTTGGGGCAGGGGTGGGGAGGGCAGGGAGGTGGCAGGGGCCCCAGCAATGACACCACCCATTCCCGGCAGGCATTACCACGGTGCTGACCATGACCACGCTGATGGTGAGTGCCCGCTCTTCCCTCCCGCGGGCCTCGGCCATCAAGGCGCTGGACGTGTACTTCTGGATCTGCTATGTCTTCGTGTTTGCTGCGTTGGTGGAGTATGCCTTTGCCCACTTCAATGCTGACTACCGGAAGAAGCAAAAGGCCAAGGTCAAGGCCACAGAGCAGAGAACAGAGGTGAGGCTGAGCCTGTGGGCGCTCTTGTGTTCAGCACCAAGGACAGCCCCCCATGCCCTCCACACACACACCCCCGCCACCGACACAGAGGGGCAGTGCTGGTGGGGCCACTCTTCCCGGGACCGACTCAGGACCCTCTGCCTACTGCTCTGGGGGGTTCGCTTGCAGCCCCCGGGCACAGGAGAGCAGGCCCTGCCTGCTGCTGCTCACGGCGACACTTGCCGAGGGACTCAGCCGTGGCCCGGGTGGGGGGTCCTGGAGCGGAGCCCGCCCTTGGCTCAGCCCTGCCCCGTCCCCCTGTGCAGATGGACGTGAAGAATGCCATTGTGCTCTTCTCCTTGTCGGCCGCTGGCGTCACCCAGGAGTTGGCAGTGTCCCGCCGGCCCTGCCGCACGCCTGGGAACCTCATGGGCACCTACAGGTGTGTGGAGATGGAGACGGGGGAGGCCAAGAAGCGGGGCGGGCGCCGCTCGGGGGGCCAGGGAGGCCTCCGTGGGCTTTTTAAGCCCATCGACGCAGACACCATCGACATCTACGCCCGCGCAGTGTTCCCTGCTGCCTTCGTGGCGGTCAATGTCGTCTACTGGGCAGCCTACACCATGTGAGGCTGCAGGTACCTATCCTGGATAGGCTGCTTCACCTATCCTGGAGCCCACGGCCACCGGGCGAAAGGCTCTCGGGTGGATCTGCCCCCTCTGCCTGTTTCGAAGGGGGCGTGACAACAGGCCGCGTGAAACAAGAGGAAAGCCTCGGCCTCCCTAAGTACCCCAGGCGCTGTCCCCACCATCACCTGGAAGACCACCCGGGGCTCTCCCACGCACCTCTCCTGCAGACCCCCGGCCCAGCTCCCCCTTAGCGGCAGGGTCCACCTGACCCAAGGCTGAGCCAGGCAGGCTCGTAGCCTCTGGGAAGCTATGCATTTGACTCACAAAACAATCCTGATTCTAGGCACTTGCTCTGTGGGCTTGGGACCGGGTCACGGGAGGAGGCTGGGAGTGGGCGGTGCTACTTTCTTGGTAAAGTGGTGGAGAAGGGCGTCCATGGGCCTTTGGTCCCAGCATGAAATAAAACAAAGCGTTTGGCTGCTGGCTGTGTTCTCTGTTGCTGCGGCTGGGCCGTGGCCGCACCCTGGCTGCCCGGAGAGCTGTTCTGGAGCTGGGGGCTCCATGGGCTCGAGACAGAGGGGCTTGGAGCTGTGTCCCAGAGGTGAGCCATGTGGCCACGTCCTTGGGCCTTGGTGGGAGGGGCAGAGATGCAGGGTCCTGGAGAGAGGCTCAAGGAGTCACTCCCTCCCCCCTTGGTCTCTTGGTCCCGTGGCCAGGGTGCCATTACACTGCCTTCTCGGATGTGGCGATGGGTAAAAGGGGGCCACTGAGTCCCCAGTTCCCACCACGCACATGGGGTGACACGGTTGCAAGCAGGGTGATGGGAGTTGTTCGTCACTGGAGATCTGACAGGCAGCTCTTACTAAGGGTGTTCGGGTTTTCCATGGCACCAAAGCAAGGTGAGCCTTCACACTTGGAGGAAACAGAAGCGGCAGTGAGAGGACCGGACCGCTCTGCGGTCGCTGTGGAGCCCGGGATGCCGGCTCCCATGGACAAGGTCACCCAGGTCCGTGCCATGCTGTGGTCAAGGAGGCAGCCGGGCAACTGCCCTGCTGGCCCCGCGGTGCCCTCCTGGTGGGCCCCAGCCCGAGCCACCTCAAGGGGAGCATGACGATGACTCTGTGAATCAGACTTTGTGAATCGGGTGGTCCTACCATCCGCCTCCAGCCTGCACAAACTGCCCAGGGGTCTGCAGTGTCTCCAGGCCCTGGGGACGGGATGCTAGAGGACGCCCACTCACAAAAGGGCTCAGTGGACCATTGGGGTCCAGGTGTTCCAGCACGGGGATGCCGGGCAGCCGCTCCCAGAAGACCAAGGCTGCGTCCAAGGGCAAAGGAGGGGATTGGTCCATCTGCCCAAACCACAACCCGGCTTAGCACCTCCACTTCCCCCACCTCCACCTCCTCCTCCTCTTCCTCCTCCTCCTCCAC